CAAGATGGCCCCATGACGGCCCAACAGGCCCCCTAGACGGCCAGCCAAGAGGCCTCCAAGACGCCCAAGATGGCCTCCAAGACGGCCCCGAAGCGCCCCAAGAGGCCCCCAAGCCGGTTCAGAGAGGCCCCCAAGACGGCTCTCGACGGCGTCAGACGGGCCAGGAACCCCCCCAGATGGCCGAAGTTGGCTCGAAGCTGGCCCAAGACGGCCCAAGGGGCCTCCAAGAGGGCCTCCAGGAAGGCCAGAAAAGGTAAAACAAAACACTGATTTCGCCAAGGTGTTTGAAGGATTGTGACATTTGGTTCATTTCGGCCTTCCGACGGTCCGAGACGGCCCCGAAGCCCCAAAAGATCGCCCAAAGATCGCTCAAGAGGCCTCCGAGATGGCACCAGAACGAACCAAGAGGCTCCCAAGACGGCCCCAAGAGGCCCCCAAGACGGCTCAGGAGGCCTTTAAGACGCCCAATATGGCCTCCAAGACGGCCCTGGAGCATTCCAAGAGGGCTCCAAGTCGGCCCAGAGAGGCCCCCCAAACGACTTCCGACGGCGTCAGACGGGCCAGGAACCCACCAAGACGGCCGAAGATGGCCCTAAGATGACCCAAGAGGCCTCCAAGAGGGCCTCCAGGAAGGGCCGACAAGGCCCAAATCATTGATTTCCCATGAATGTTTGAAAGAATTGTGGCGTTTGCATTTTTTCGGCCTTCCGAGACGGCCCAAGTGCCCCCAAAGATCGCCCAAGAGGCCCAACACGGCCCCAAGAGGCCCCCAAGACGGCCAGGAGGCCTCCAAGACGCTCAAGGCGGCCTCCAAGACGGCCCAAGAGCCCTCCAAGACGTCCTCCAAGAAGGCCCGAAAAGGGTCAACATGGCCTCCGGACGGCCAAGACGACCTTCTAGATGCCCACGTGTTCCCCGAAGGCTATCCAAACCGATTCGGGGAACACATGGTCCGATAGCTCGGCAGGTCTGGCCTCAACGTTCGGCCACATAGGCGCTTCCAAAAAGGGCAGGGGGCGGCGGTGATTCGCCGTAGGCGTCTTCGATCATCACTTTTCGTGTGCTTTGACAGATGCCGGCCGTCTGTCTACGTGTGCTCTCTCCCGTTTCCCCATGTGCGCACGACGAATTCTGAAAATGTCAGCCCGAAAGGCTCCGAAAAAGGCTCCCCAAAAGCCCCGTGGAGTCCCAAAAGAGCTTCAATAACCCCCCAACAAACGCACAAGAGGCCCCCAGGAGCAACGTGCAACAACCGCCAATTCCCTAAGGGGTCGGCGGTGGGGAAGTCCCCCAGAAGCCTCCAAAAGACACCCCAAAAAAAAACCCAAAGGCCACACAGCGACTGGAGTGTAATGTTATTTCCCCCCCTCTGGGCGAACTGCGGAGCAGCGCCAGCCAGGTGGAAGTTGGTCACTGCGGCGCCCATGATTAGAGCCGGCGCTGGAAGGGAAGATGGGGAGGGTCTATGAAAAGGAGGGAGGGGTTAAAGGCCCCAAAGAAGTCCCCAAGGCCGCTGCGCGCGCGAGAGCATGCGCGGGCTAGCGCGGCCGCAGAGATGCACCAGCCAACACCAAGCACAACGCACTGCGAGTAGGAATTATCTGCACCACATAAATTGCACCACGTAGCTTGCACCACGTATATCGCACTGCACCATATAGACTATCCTTGCTAAACGAATAATATGATAACCCTGCCGGAATTAAACATGTTCCCTTTTTCGTACTGCAATGTACATACGATTCTGCCCCATCTTCCATCCGAAATCTGAAATCATATCATCCCAAACAGACTGGTACCCCCCCTCGATCTCAACAGCAAATACTATGCACGCGCATTCGTTTATCACAAACACAAGTGTTCAAACATTCCCTGCGCAAAACGGGACGAAGTGCACACGCGCGCGCCGTCGCGCGCGCATGCCGAAATCATAAAAAAACTGTGGGTTTCGCAGCGCTTTCAAAATCGAGAGCCCCGAAACATACAAACACAAATGGTCTCGCAACAAGAATTTTCAAAGACGCCTTGCACTCCCGCTTTTGCAGGTTCTTGAAACAAACAAGAGTCTCAACATTTTCATCCAAGGTTGCCAAACGTGCCTTCGGCACGCGCACGTCGAATTCGCTCGAACGCCCTTGCGCGCGTGCTGTCGTAACAAGCCCGTGCAAAAAAACAGAAACACATGACGAAATTCGCACGCGCGCGTCGTCCCGCGCGCATGCAGGAACCCGTCAAAACACGAAGTTCGTAGGGATTCCAAATTCGAGTGTCCCGAACACATCAGGGTGAGGGGGCCGAACGGTCATTCATGGGGGCGTGGATGACCCGCGACCCACCCCGCGACCCACCCCGCGACCCAGCCGCGACCCACCCCGCGACCCACCCGCGACCCACCCCGCGACCCACCCGCGACCTGGCCCGCGACCCACCCGCGACCCACTCGCGACCCACCCGCGACCCACCCCGCGACCCACCCCGCGACCCACCCGCGACCCGGCCCGCGACCCACCCGCGACCCACCCCGCGACCCACCCCGCGACCCACCCCGCGACCCACCCTGCGACTCACTCAGTATACAAAATGCGAGCTTCGTATATGAGGATTCAGCTTGTCTTGTTGCGTCGTCCTTCCCACGACCCGGCCCGCGACCCACCCGCGACCCACCCCGCGACCCACCCGTGATCCACCCCGCGACCCACCTGCGACCCACCCGCGACACACACCCCGCTCGCAACCCACCCGCGACCCACCCGCGACGCACCCGCGACCCATCCGCGACCTACCCGCAACCTGGCCCGCGACCCACCCGCGACACTGTCGACCCAACCGCGACCCACCTGCGACCCAATCCGCGACCCACCCACATTGTTTTAACAAAAAATCGGCGCCTGCGGCGGGCTCGTTGTATAGTTTAAATACCTCTACGCCTGCGGCGCGCTTCTTCGGAGTTTCGCGGACTGCCGGCGTCCCCGCCGCCCCCTCACTCTTATCCGCAACTGCGGTGTGTTACTTATAAAACACATACGACTTGACAACATCAATTTTCAAACATGTTTGCGCCCGCGTTCCTGCGAATTCTTGAGAATTTGCCAAACGGGCCTCTCGCGCCGCATGTCGGCATCATTCGAACGCCCCTGCGCTCGAATGCTGGGGGGTGGGGCGCGATCCGTGTCAAGCAACATAATGCGGGCCACTCTCGCGCGTCGGCCGCGCGCGCATGTCGAACCCTTTTTTCCAAAACCTTCATCACCGACGCCGTCATCGTCGTCAACGTGATGAGCATCGGCACCGTCACTGGCCGTGCCATCGTCTTTGTCAGCACCGCCACCAGCATCGTAACTATCATCCTCTCGCCTACCGCTGTCGACGTTGCCATGATACCGCGCCCGCCCAAATTGCCGACTCGAACTGAAGTGCCCGCTTGGATGTGCCCAACGGTCAGCGCCACCGCGGCCGCGCCGGTCGCGTCAAACTAGCGGGCCGCTGCGCGTGCGAGCATGCGCGGGCCTGCGCGGCCGCAGAGATGCACCAGCCAACACCAAGCACTCATCGCCATCGCCGCCGCATGGGCTTATGCATGCCAAGTTGCGGGTGGGTGGGTGGGATGATTGCGCGAGCAGTGGATTTGACAACTCACTGCGAACAGCAATTAATTGCACCATATCGATTCCACCACATAGGGCGCACAACCCATATATGTACATATATATATATATATATATATATACATATATATATACATATATATATATGTACATGTCTGTATATGTGTGTGCGTGTGTAAATGCCGTTGTCGGCAACTCCATTTCCTTCGCCTTCCGGGTCTTCGCCTTCGGTCCCTGTCCATGGCGTACCTTTTCCTGCACATCCACTTCGGCACCGCCTGCTCCCCGGGCCCCGCCCGCTCCGGCCGCCTGAGGCCTCGCCTTCCTGTGCCCTGTCTCCCTGATTAAAGCTGTGCGTAGCCCGCCTAGCTTTTAGCGGAAGAGGTTCGCTCTCGCCCCGCAGATCAAACAATGTGTGTGCGTGTGTGCTGCACCACATCGGGTGCACTACGTAGATTGCACCACGTGGATGACACCACACCAAAAAACTAGAAAACACTGTTTGGGGCCCACGTTGTCTGACATCGGTCCAACGTCTTCGCTGTACGAATGCCAAGTGGAATGAAGCTAGGAGGGGGGAGCCGGCTGCCGTTCGATCAGCCACTCGGTCGAAGGGTAAGTCATGCGGGCCAGCTCCTTGACCGAACCGGCTGGGCTCCCTGCTGCTGCTGCTGCTGCTGCTGCTGCCTCTCGCTCTCGCTCTCACTCTCGCTCTCGCTCTCGCTCTCGCTCTCTCTCCATTGAGAATTCTGGTTTCTCTGTTCCTCATGTTCGTCCTCCTCCCTGGGGCGTCCTTCCCTGTCCTTCTCCTTCTCATCCTCCTGCTCTTTCTCTTCCGCCTCTTGTTCCTCCTGCTCCTTTTTTTCGCACTGCCCTTGTGCGCCCACGCTGTCGGCCCTTGTGTCTGTGGTCCCAGCGCCCCCCTCCCCCCCCTCCGAGAATCTGCCTCCCTCTGCTCCTCCTCCTCCTCCAGCTCCTCCTCCTTCTCGGCCGGCCCCTGCACCTCCCCTTGTTCGTGCTCGAACGCCTCCTTTTGCGCACACCTATGCTGCAATCCAAAGCTGGTCAACGATCGCTCCCCCCCCCAGAGGTCCCAGCGGAGCAGAGCTCGGGCGTTGCTTAATGGGAGGGGCCATCAATTGGGGGGGACGTGTACCTTTCTCTCCTCTTTTGGGCCCCATGGGGACCCCTTCAGGGTGCAAAAGGTGTACCTTTCTTCACTCCCCCAGGTATCGCTCCCCCCATTACGCAGCGCTCACAGCAGAGAGCGCTGTGTCCGCTGGCTCGCCAGCGGGCCCCTTAGGAGCAGCGAGGGTGGGCCGGGGACCGCTTGTTGCATGTGGTGGACGAGGTCGTGCTCCCAACTGCCTCACATGTATTTTCCCAAAACAGTGCTTGTACGTCGGCATTTCTTTTTCTTCATGGTCAATGCGCCTGTGCTCTCGGACTCAAGATCAACATCGGCTACAGCTACTGACAAGCTGCCGAGCAAGAGACTACACAAGCGCATGAAAGCTCGCGGCGCCTGCGCTGTGTGCGGGTCACATGTGCTCCACACACACACCCTTGGCTGAGCGTGCGGACCACTGGTTTCGAGATGAGGGGGGGAGAGATGGAGAGAGAGAGAGCGAGGGAGAGAGATAAAGAGAGAGAGCGAGAGAGAGAGAGCCATAGCGATAGAGATATTGCCACTGCTTGGGGTGAGCCCGCCATCTGGAGCAAGACCCAGCACCTCGTCAGAGGCGCACTGTACTCGTGGCAATCATCTGCGAATTCAGAATGTGCTCTCGTCCGCAAGGTACGTGTCGACGAACACCGACATTTGTTGCCGCCGCCCTTCAGCACACCCAATGCGGTAACTTTCCAAACGAACGCCCTGTGAGGTTATGGCTGGGTCTGGTGCTCAGCTGGCTCACCCGAGCGCCCTCCGAACCGCCTACGACTGAAAAAAACGATGGCGCCCTCTAAATGCGACCCACAACGACCCACAACATTTCACATCATGCCTCTTGGAACATCGATGCTGCCGCTATTTGAGCAAAAACGCTGCAGGGGTTGCCCCGCTTCGCAATCAGCACCGTGGTGTGATCTGTGTTCTGTAACCACGCCACAATCGAGCTGCGCGAAGAGAACAAAAAATACGCACCGCAACAGTGCCCGACCCGATATCATTCTTGCCAGACCCGATCGAGGAAAGCCCCCGCCTCCACCCAGCCAAACTTGGTGCTCAGGTCATGCGGGCGTCTGTGAGCTTCTTGGGGATCCCCTGGTCGAGGCCAGCCTCGGAAAGCCAAGTTTTATGTGCTGGCGACGGGTCTAGGCAAGAGGGGGCCTGGCGAAAAAAAAATGGCATTGAACAGTCTAGCTTAACCCTACCTTATGTTGTATAGCGCAACGTATTGCGACTTGCCTAGTGCGACAAACAACAAGCACACACACATAACGCTGATGAACTCAAGCGCTACCCGCGCACCTGGATCGCACAGGGGAGGAAGACGAGCAACAACTCGCTTCTTCCCGGGGGCTACACGGAGAATCACAGCATGAACATCCGGCCCAGGTATAATTAACGAATCCTCGTAGGGTGCCGCTCAATCCCAGATCAGTGCAGCCAAAGCCCTGCGAACCCGACCTGGACAGGCACAGAAAGCAAAACCGCCCCGCGTCTGTACGACGTCCTCGCGTGTCCGAAACGGCTCGCAAGAAGGGCAGCCCCCCCATCATTAGAGCCCTACACGTCCCTGATCTCCAATGGCCCTTGGCCCCCGGGCGGGTGGGACCCTCGTCGCCACGCGCGCCTTATCGGCAAGGCCCGCGGACCACGGGCCGACCAGCGTGTGGCCTAACCGGCAACAGGCCGATTCTTGCTGCAGGGCCAGGCCTACGTCAAGCAGGTGGCACTGCTGTGGCCGTGCTGCTCGCCGTTTGGTTCGGCACGCTGGCCAATCGCGTGAGGGGTAGACCCGCCGGCCCTGGCACCTCCGACGAAGAGCACGTGTAGGCTACGTAGAAGCCGAGGGAGTCTACGTAGTCTTGGGAGTGGCCGTACAAGCCTACCAACCACGCACTCCTTGGAAAGTATCCAGTCGCGTTGCCCACTGCGTCCTTGAAGTTCACCATCTTTGTGTACAGTCCGCCGGGGCCGCCCACGACTTGCTGAATGCCGTCGTCTGTCCAAAAGGATATCTTGTCGATGTACCTCTCGTATGTCAACTCGACAGCAATGATTTTCTGGCCGTCGGAGAAGGTCATCGTGCCAGGGACGCCGGCCTTGCCGCCGTGCTCTGGCAGGGGCCAGTTGTCATTTCCCAGAGCCAGCACAAGCTGGATGCTGTCCATCCAACGCCCGCTCCGATACTCAATCTGCTTAACCTGGAGGTTTGTGAACAGTCCGTGGAGCTCGACCATCGTGGCGGAGTCGTCGAACGACTGGCCATTCTGGCCACCTCCACCCCAGACTTTGGCCAGGCAAGTCTTTTCCATAGCTGTCCCGTCAGGATCGTACACGTTCTTTGTGCAACTGTCGACCTTCCCTTCCTTGAGCAGCTTATCGGGGCAGTACTCGTGCAAGGCCCTTTCCATGTTCTCTTTCTTGGCTTTGAGCTTCGTCATGTTTGTCTCAGACACGACAATGGAACTGGCGAACAGCTCGCTGAGCGGCTTGAGCTCCATCGAAGTGGGTACTGGGTTCTTGATCGTGTCCGTCAACCATTGCCCTGGATCTCCAGACTGCGGCGGCAACGCCCCGAGTGAGTACTGCAGAGTGTTCGTGCTGTACTCCTCAAAGAAGGCCCTCGACGTCATCTCTGTGGAACTCGCAACGCCGGCCTTGATCGACACTATGAAAGAAGCCTGAGCCTCCACCCACCAATCACTTTTCGACGCTTTCATGTTGTCGTACTGGACCTTTGTGAACTGGGTTTCTTCGCCGTACATGGCACCCAGCTGCACGGTCGACAAAAAATGTGTGCCGAACTCGCCGATGATATCAAAATAAAAATCCGGATCGTATTCTACTGGAGCCATGTCCACGGCTGCCAGGAAGTTCTCGTCGGCCGGCGGGGGCTTGAAAGTTTGGACGAAAGCCTCGTAGGCACAGCAATGGGCAGTGACGATGGTGTAGACGTTCTCGCGAGACTGAAAACCTTCCAAGACGCGCTGAAAATCCGCAGATGCCTGAAATCTGGCGATGTCCCCAAACTCGATGTCTGTATAGACACTGGTGGACAAGAAATCATAATAATCCTCCATGCTCATTATCTCCTGCACCTGAGTAGCCAAAGAACATGAACCCTGACACTGAAGCGCGGTGATCCCCTCCGGAAGCGCGGTGCCGTCTGGCGACAACTCGCTGCCATAATTTGCCTTGAACACTCTGTTCCGGAAGCCCTTGTCCACAGCGCCGCGGGTTGGGTCTGGATTTAGGGGAACGAAGAATGACATAAACATAAAAACTCGGAGGTCCGCGCGGATTTCTCGGGTCGCGCGCCAGGGAGGGGGGTCCAGCCCCGATCCGAGAAATCCGCGCGGACTTCAGAATTTGTATGTTTATGTCCTTCTTCGCTCCACTATGGATTTCCTAGGAAGATGTCGTAACCGCTGATGACATACTCTAAACCCTTCAGCTTCTCGCCTGCGCCCAGCGATAGGCGGCGGGGTGACGAGTCGCCTCGGCCTCTGGAGGCGCTCCCCCGCAGGCCGCCCCCCGCGGGCGCGGCGCAGCCGACGAGCGCCCACGCGGCCACTGCGCAGCTGGCGAGCGCCCAGGCGACCGCGGCTGCCGCGAGGCAGCCCTGCCTGACCAGAGGCATCGTGGCCTGCGGAGGCGCGCCGCTCGTCGCGGGCGGCAGGGGGGGCACGGGCCTCGTGGCTTCGGCCATAGCGGCTTGAACCAAGTGCAAAAGCGGCATGAGCCAAAACGGCTGGGGAATTGCACTTGGGGGCAGTTCCTGGTCGTCAGAAGACCTAAGCTCTTTTGTTGGGTCCGCCGCCATGACGCCGCCGTCGCCGCCCCGGCCCCGCCTTGTCGCCGCCCGCTGTCTGGGCTCATTCGCGGGATCCGCCGCTTTGTTGCCGCCGTAGTCGCCGCCTTGTTGCCGCCGTCGTCGCCCCGTCGCCGCCCATCGTCGGGGCTCCATTGTCGGGTCCGCCGTCTTGTTGTCGCCGTCTTCGCCCCGTCGCCGCCCAGTAGAGATTGCACCATATACACAACATAGATTATCACTATATTTTCTCCCCAAGTGAATTCGGATCTACCCCCCTTCTTGGTTTATCGCTTCCCATTGGGATGATGCAGTTTACACGTGGTTCTGCCTCATCGTACATTGTACATATGAACTCATACCTTCCCATGGGACAACTTGTAATGCGCCCCCCCCATCCCTGCCAAATAATACAATGCGCGCGCATTCGTTTTATCAATTCTCGAGAATTTACCAAAATCCCGGGCAAAAGTCGGGACAACATCCACACACGCGCGCGTCGTCGCGCGCGCATGCCGGAATCGTAGAAGAAACGAAACAAACAACGTCGGTTTCGTGAAGATTGCGAGGTCGATATTCCCGAGCACGTATGCAACACGTGACTTTGCAACGTGTTTTCAGAAAAAATCAGCGCGCGTGTTTTTGCGAATTGTTGCGAGAAACATAGTCTTGTGTTTCATCTCGTGTGCGCATGTCAAACTTATTCGAGCGCCTTTTGCGCGCGCGGGGGGGGGGGGGTCAATCCTGTTCAAATAACACCACGCGGGCCGCTCGCATCCGTCGGTCGCGCGTGCACGCCGCCATTCTTGCAAAACTTTCATCGCCGACACGTGGACGCCATCATCGCCACCAGAGCAATCAGCATCGGCGCCGATATTGGCCGTGCTGTCGAAATCATCATCGTCACCAACATCGTCACCACCGTCACCAACATTGCTAATACCCATTGCGGCTGCCATTGTCGACGTCGCCATGATATCGCGCCCGCCCGGGTCGCCGACTCGCATTGCAGTGCCCGCGCGTCATCGCGGCCTGCGAGACGCGCTTGGGAGCCCCCAGCGGTCAGCGCCACCGCGGCCGCGTCGGTCGCTCGCTCTACGCGCGAGCCTGCGCGCGCTGGCGCGGCCGCAGCGATGCGCCAGCCAGCGCCAAGCAATCATCGCAATCGCCGCCGCATGGGTTGTGCAAGCCCAGGCGCGGGTGGGCGGGTGGGAGGATTGCGAGAACAGTAGACTTGACAACTCACTGCGACCATGTATTCTCACGAAAAAGCAAGCTCGACCCCCCCCCCGGCTTGATCGCCCCCCCACCCCACCCCGTTGAGATGGTAGAATGTTTGAATGATTTTGCTCGACCGACCATGTCAACGTGAACTCATACCATCCCGGCCAGACTCCTATGAATCGACCCCCTACCAGTCATCTTTCTAAAATAATGCTGTGCGCGCATTCGCCCATCACCAATTTCTGGTTATCAAACATCCCTTGCGGAAAAAATGCAAAGGTGACGCGACCGCATCGTCGTGCGCGCGCGTGCCGAAGTTTTGGAAGAAAAAACGAAACCATACCGCACGGCTACGGACACCCATGCTTCAGAAAAAGCATGTGAGCCAGCGTGGGCCAATCAAGCATTGTTTCTAATGGTCTACGTTGTAAAACCTACGTGGACACTCTATGTTGTGCAACCTACGTAGTGCAACCTGCGCAATAAAAACTACGTCGTGCAATAGATGATGTAGAGTATATAAGTTGGGCATTGCGCGTGGAGCGACCTATGTTCAAAACCTGTTTATGCGTTTACACGATGCGATATGTGGTGCAATTAACTTGTGTTCGCCCTGAGTAGTCAACTCCACGGCTCGCGCATTCATCCCACCCGCCCGCCCGCAACTTGGTTTGCATAAGCCTATGCGGCGACGATTGTTGTTCTTAGGTCCGCGGCGTTGGCTAGTGCACCCATGCGGCCGCGCTGGCCCGCGCATGCTCGCGCGCGCAGCGGTCGGCTGGTTTGGCGCGACCGGTGCGGCCGCGGGCGGCGCTGAGCTGGGCACGTCCCAGCGGACACTTCGGTGCGAGTCGGCGACTTGGGCGGGCGCGGTATCACGGCAACGTCGACAGCGGTAGGCGCGAGGATGATAGTTTCAATGCTGGCGGCGATGATGCCAACTACGATGGCAAAGACAGTGACGGCGCCGATCCTGATGCAAGAGTTCGGCGCGCGCGCGCCGCCGAAGCGCGAGAGCGGCCCGCATGGTGTCATTCGACGCGCATCGCGCCCCCCCCCAGCGCGCGCCCAAGGGCGTTCGAGCGACTTCGACGTGCCGCGCGAGAGGCCCGCTCGGGATAATTTAGTGGTCATGTTGAACAACCTATGGCTCTCTCAAGAACCGACGAAAGCGTGAACGCTGATCATTACCTAACAGCGAAGAGTGATAGGCTTCTAGTGGTGTCAAAAGAGAGCATCTGATGACTCAGAAGGGAGGTCTGGGCGGCATCCGGACAGCGAGGGCCGGGCTCAGGGCCAGGCTCGTTTTAAGCAAACAGTCGCACACTTCGGGCTCTACGACCTCCCAGAACTCCACTCCCGGGCCACATTTTCAATGCCCGAAGCAAACTGTAAGCCACTTCGTGCTCTACGACTTCCCAGAACTCCATTCCCGGGCCACATTTTGGATGCTCGGAGCCAACTGTAGGCCACTTCGTGCTCTTCGAGTTCCCAGAACTCCATTCCCGGGCCACATTTTGAATGCCCGGAGCCAACTGTAGGCCACTTCGTGGTCTTCGAGTTCCCAGAACTCCATTCCTGGGCATGATTTTGAATGCCCGGAGCCAACTGTAGGCCACTTCGTGTTCTTCGAGTTCCCAGAACTCCATTCCCGGGCCACATTTTGAATGCTGAGGCAGGCTGAGGCTGAGGCTGAGGCAGGCTGAGGCTGAGGCAGGCTGAGGCTGAGGCCGAGGCTGAAGGCAGACTGAGGCTGAGGCTGAAGCAGGCTGAGGCTGAGGCAGAGGCAGGCTGAGGCTGAGGCAGGCTGATGCTGAGGCAGGCTGAGGCTGAGGCTGAGGCTGATGCAGGCTGAGGCTGAGGCAGGCTGAGGCTGAGGCTGAGGCCTGAGGCTGAGGCAGAGAAGGCAGACTGAGGCTGAGGCTGAAGCAGGCTGAGGCTGAGGCTGAGGCTGAAGGCAGACTGAGGCTGAGGCTGAAGCAGGCTGAGGCTGAGGCTGAGGCTGAGGCTGAGGCTGAGGCTGAGGCTGAGGCTGAGGCTCTGAGGCTGAGGCTGAGGCTGAGGCTGAGGCAGGCTGAGGCTGAGGCTGAGGCTGAGGCTGAGGCTCTGAGGCTGAGGCAGGCTGAGGCTGAGGCCGAGGCTGAGGCAGACTGAGGCTGAGGCTGAAGCAGGCTGAGGCTGAGGCTGAGGCAGGCTGAGGCTGAGGCCGAGGCTGAGGCAGGCTGATGCTGAGGCAGGCTGAGGCTGAGGCTGAGGCTGATGCAGGCTGAGGCTGAGGCAGGCTGAGGCTGAGGCCGAGGCTGACGGCAGACTGAGGCTGAGGCTGAAGCAGGCTGAGGCTGAGGCAGAGGCTAAGGCTGAGGAGGCTGAGGCAGGCTGGGCAGACTGAGAGCTGAGGCTGAGGCAGGCTGAGGCTGAGGCTGAGGCAGGCTGATGCTGAGGCAGGCTGAGGCTGAGGCTGAGGCCGAAGCAGGCTGAGGCTGAGGCAGGCTGAGGCTGAGGCCGAGGCTGAAGGCAGACTGAGGCTGAGGCTGAAGCAGGCTGAGGCTGAGGCTGAGGCAGGCTGAGGCTGAGGCTGAGGCAGGCTGATGCTGAGGCAGGCTGAGGCTGAGGCTGAGGCTGATGAGGCAGGCTGAGGCTGAGGCAGGCTGAGGCTGAGGCTGAGGCTGAAGGCTGAAGGCTGAGGCTGAGGCTGAAGGCTGAGGCTGAGGCTGAGGCTGAGGCTGAGGCTGAGGCAGGCTGAGGCTGAGGCTGAGGCTGAGGCAGGCTGATGCTGAGGCAGGCTGAGGCTGAGGCTGAGGCTGAGGCTGAGCAGGCTGAGGCTGAGGCAGGCTGAGGCTGAGGCCGAGGCTGAAGGCAGACTGAGGCTGAGGCTGAAGCAGGCTGAGGCTGAGGCTGAGGCAGGCTGAGGCTGAGGCTGAGGCAGGCTGATGCTGAGGCAGGCTGAGGCTGAGGCTGAGGCTGATGCAGGCTGAGGCTGAGGCAGGCTGAGGCTGAGGCCGAGGCTGAAGGCAGACTGATGCTGAGGCTGAAGCAGGCTGAGGCTGAGGCTGAGACAGGCTGAGGCTGAGGCTGAGGCAGGCTGAGGCTGAGGCTGTGAGTGTGACTGCCGTTGCCACTGCGACTGTCATCGCGAATGTGACTACGACTGCGAGAACAACAGAATTCTACAACTGGATTCTCATCCGAATCGTAAGGGGAATGCTTCCAGATATGCTCATACACATCGCTGTTAGGTTGCGTTGCCGGGATTTTTTTTGTTTTTTTTGTTTTGAAAAGCTGGCTTTGCAAACCCATGGGTTTGCAGATGTTTCCAGGGGGGTCGATGTTGAAATCATTTTTTGAAAACTCACGTTGCACAGCCATGTGGTCGTACATGTTTTCGGGGCATTCGATGTTGCAACCCGTGCGACACCCAAGGTTCCCGATGGATTCTGGCATGCGCGCGCGACGGCGCGCGCGCGTGCTCTTCGTCCCATCTGTTGCCAGGGAGTGTTGAAACGAGTGTGTGCGCATAATGCTTTCCGCAGATGATTAGGCGGGTCGATAAAGACTGCGTGGGGTGGTATGGATAATGGGCTAAACGGAAAAAAAACAATACGATACCGCCAAGCGTCAAGTGTTTGTTGTTCTTTTGTTTGGGAGGGGGGTCGGTCCTCATGCCTTATATGTACATATATGTACATGTATGGAGGTTTACACATCTATATAAACATATGTGT